CCTCCCTCCCTTCTCTTTCCCGCCTTGTGGGTGTGGGTGTTTCTAGTCTCTCGCACGCTGCTGGCGGTGAGCTGCTGAGGATGGATACCGCCGTGTGGTGCACTCTGGAGCCCCGCCAGGGTCTCTCGGAGAAACCGTTAGGAGGGAGATGGGAGATGGGAGCCTTGTGAGAGCGCTCCTTTGCAGACACACAGGCGGGCAGGCGGGCAGGAGAGGCGGCGGCAGGGCGAGCGAGCGAGCGAGCGAGAGAGAAGAGGGTAGGAGAAGAGAGCGAGAGAGAAAGGGCTGCGCCTGAAATCCTAGCAAACCGGAGAGGAGGAAGTCCGAAGAAATGGATGCTGCTTCTGTTGTTGTTGCTGCCGCTGCTGCTTGTTAGGCCAAAGGCCTGAATATACTGGATTTAATGGGATGCTTTTTTTCTGGGAACCATTGGGCTGAAATCTGAATTGCTCCTGCTGTTGCTGCTGCTCTTCCTGCTGAGGTGAGGGGGGCGGGGGGGGGAAGGTAACGGTGTCTTTGTTTCCAGAAAGAGGGAAGCCATTGATAATATTCTGCAGCATTTTTTTGAAAAAAATCGTGTCTGGAGTAAAGGGCAAGATGTACCTCGTTTTTGCTGCCAACCTTTTTTCTTTTAAGAATAGGTTTAAATCATGGACTCTTCGGGTTTTGCCTTTTTATTCTTAATGAGTGGGCTTACGACGTGCTACAAACAAACCAGGATGTTGAAAGCTGAGGAGAAATAGCAAAATGAATCGCTTTTGGGTGTGTTGCCGGTTGGGGAGAGGAGGAGGGAGGTGCGGCGAATTATTTAAATTCGAGCAAGTATTGATGCTTGTGACTAGGATATGCTAAGACGGAACAGTTCCAAATGGCTGCAGCACATTTAATGCAGAGCTCGAGGTTTATAAAGGGTAAAAAGCTCTGAAATATTTTTTTTCTCTCTCTTCATTCATACCATATTCGTTTCATGCTGCCACATGAAAGTTGTTCCACATTCACTAAATCAACCAGTTTTCCATTCATTCATTCTTTCTTTCTTTCTTTCTTTCTTTCTTTCTTTCTTTCTTTCTTTCTTTCTTTCTTTCTCTCTCTTTTTTTGCAATCTTTCTTTCTCCCGCTCATGCTGTAAATGAATCTGTATATTTCTTTCTTTCTTCTCTCTCTCTCTCTTTTTTGCAATCTTTCTTTCTCCCGCCCATGCTGTAAATGAATCTGTATGAGGTCGCTTTCCTGATTGCGTTATTAAATGTGTTCACTGCTGAGTGGGAAATGTAGACGAGTAGGTGGGAGCATCCAAGCAAAATTTCAAAGAACACAATTGTTTCTATTAATAGTATTGGCAGCAGTTTAATGATACACATGCAGGCAAGAGAGCAATTCATCAAAACTCAGCCTAGAGCTCAGAGCCACCATTCTCAAAGAACAGCCCAAAGTGAGCTGTAGTAATAAGGAAGTAGAAATAGTTTAGACGTCTGTTTTTTAAAACTGCAAAAATAGGAGTGCTCTTGCATGAATATATGAGATTTTGTGTAGGGATATATGCATTTTGTGTTTGACATCATGGTTTGTTGCTGTGATTTTAAAAGTGCCTGCACTGATTTCTGAAGCTATGGAAGTTGTCTTTGGTGGTATCATAAGGGGTGTAGCATCCATTAGCTGCATCAGATTGTATTTGGATCACACTGTAGTAAATTCCACCCCTGCTCATGAAACATGTCACTTCTGGTTAACGGATGTGGGCTTTGCTCAGCTTGCACGCTACCAAACAAGAACCAACTGGAGTGTTGTGTGGCTATTTTAACCAAATTGTGGGGATGGCAGAGGGGCCCAGTAATAATATATGAATAGCTGACCACACCAATTGAGTCTATGGCTCCTGAACCCATTGGATGGAGAAATGCAGTTTGTAGCTACATGTTTTAACCTTTCCTGCACAGGTTGCCCACTCTAATCCATACATTCTTCCTTCCTATATTCCCGATTCTATTTGTGTGCTTCAGTTAATGTTATGTATGCTAACATTCCAAAATACTTTAACCCTTTGCACCATGAACATAAGTGGAAATTTTTGTTAATGAATGTTATCAAATGGGATTAGCAATTTGTTAGGATTTTTAAAAAATCTATTTCAGAAAGCATAGCCACACTTACATTTTCTGAATAAACAAGAGTGGGAAAAGCCAGAATCAGCAAAGGCCTACATATCAGTGGAAGAGAACATATTTTCCATGCTCAAGCTCTGAAGTTCAGTCTGTGGTGTTTTGCGTTCAAATGATCTCCAGTTGCAAGGCTGGGAAAGACCACCGGCGGACCTTGGAGAGGCAGTGAGGAATTTGCTCTACAGCAGCCTTCCCCAGTCTGGTACTGTCCAGATACGTTGAACTACATCCCTCATTCCCAAGCGGCATGGGCTGTGCTAGTTGGAATGGTGGAATTTGTAGCCGAGACATAGCCGGAGGGCACAAAGGTAGGGAAAGATCTCCTATTAAAACTATATGTTTGAAAGAGGGAAGTGTTGGAATCTGCTTAACACTGAAGACAGTATTAGAGCCACATCTAGTTAGGAAAGTTCTGGGTGAGTCTTAGCTGGGCTTTCAAGCCTAAAATAGATGAAAACTTCAGAGGTAAGTCAGCATCACTTGAGTGTTCATTGTAGCTTGGATGGGGTACATTTCATTGCATGATGCTTTGAAATAGGGACTTGACCTTGAAATGTACCACACAGTGATGGACATGTGGTCCATGTAATAATGAAGCCTGAAGATAAAGCGAGGTACACTATCAGTCAGACCACTGGTGGGTGCACTTAAGATAGTTATTGCTGTCGGCTTAGAAGCTGTAAGGATTTTTTTTCATAAAGTGCTTGGTGCCTGATATGAATAGGTTTTTTTACCCTTTAAACAATGTTTAAAATTTAATCATAAAAAATGAACAAGACATGCATGTGGGCTGTTCATTGCTGGATGTCTTACTATGGTAGCACCTTTTAAAATTAAAGTCAGATGGGTAGGGAAATAGCATACAGTTGTGTTATCCTGCTGGAGCAGGGTAACCTGTAAAATTAAAGCACACTCAAAAAGGAGAGGGGATATGATACTTGTGGACTAACTTTTGTTTTTCACATTAATAAGGCACTGCTGTGTTCTTGAAGGTCCATTTCTCTATTTCTATATTAAATCCATGTGATATTGGCAAAGACATGGCCAAGGAGTGTGCATGCATTAAGCTTCCCTGGATGTGTCTAGTACATATCTGCACCTCCATTTCATGCTGGATGCAGTTGCAAACAGCAGTTTAACACTGAAGTTAATGACAGGAGCTTTTGGAGGTCGTTCATTTGTAGTGTTGCCATATGTTGAAAGTGGCTTGATAGCATATAACAGCTCATAGCAGTCATTGCACAAACAATGGTGGTGGGACTAACATGTTTCAAATAGTGAATAGTTTGTGTTTCCATATTGTTTTGAATTTGTGGCATTATTGTCATTTCATTCACATGTTACATCTGGGAGGACAGTATCCCATTTTAGGAACTCTGTACCTATGTGACCATGTGTCATATTGGTGAACTTGTAATTTATAGGTCCTTATTTTAAAAATGTTTTCATGGGAAATCAGGTTTCTCTCAAGAATAAACTGAGTAGCCACAGCAGTAAGGAACATGCTGTTCATCCAAATTTGCCTTGCCAATGGCATGTTAAGTAGAATTCTGTTCATGCAGTGACAGATGTTTTTCTACGACCTCACTGCTTCATTTTGCAGGTAAGGATTAACATCCCATGTTTTTATGATGTCCCATAGTGGTGTTAGGGGATACCTTACTGCAGGGGTCTCAAAATCAATTTACCTGGGGGCTGCCGGAGGCAGAGTCTGGGTGAGGCTGGGCCCAATCAGATTTAAACAAAAAACAAAACCTCACATAATTGCCTTGCCAAAGGAGAAAAGCCCCCATCGGTACCGGTGAAATTAAACAGAATGGGGTGCCCCCCACAGGTGTGCATGCACATGCACACAAACACACACCCACATGAAGGTCCGGCAACCTTCTTCTGAGGCCCCCCTCAAAAAAAAGGCGCACTCAGCAGCAGCACCTACCCCCACCACAACAGGGGAGCAAACTTTGTGAGGCAAGCCCAGGCAGCCTCCAGAGCCGAGGCAGCTGAAGCAGGATGAATAGGAGGAGGAGGAGGAAGCACTGCTGGGTGCTGAGGAGGCCGCTGGCTGGGCTGGTGCTGGGGGTGCTGAGAGAGAAAGAGCCAGAGAGCTGCTTCCCTGGAAGAGGCGGCAGCAGCGGCGGGACAAGAGCGAGTTCCGTTCTCAGGCATCGCTAGGCGGTGGTTCGGGAAAAGGACCGGCAGTGCGCCTCGCTCACCAGTCTCCCCCAAGACAGTGCCTCTTGAACCCTCCATCCGGAACTGCAGCCTGCCTGCCAGCCAGCCCGCCTGTCTGCCGGCTGGCAGGCTGCAGTTCTGGATGGAGGGGGCAAGAAGCGCTGTCTTGGGGGAGAGCCAGCGAGCGAGGCGAGGTTTTTTTTACTCTTGACATCAGAGGATGTGTGGGCACTTCAGGGGGGCAGGCAAGGCGGGGGCCACAAACTATCATCCGGCGGGCCGCAAATGGCCCCCGGGGCCGCATGTTTGAGATCCCTCTCTTACTGCAAGTAGGAAGCTAGTGTACAGGTGGGAGATACTTGTATTTTTTCTGTGTGCAAAGATTCTTTTTAAAATGAGGGTGTCAGTTACTTATATTTCTCAGATAATTAGGTGGCTCTTCAGATACTGTAGAACATGAAATGTGAAACAGTGGGGCTTAATAAACAACAGGAGAAGAGAAAATACTAGAGAAAGCCTGCCTAAGTCCTGTTCAGTGAGTCTCAGAAGTAACTTCTACTAGCTGTTGAAAGCTGAATGCAGTCTCCTTGATGGAGAGAGAAGAGCCAAGTTCCCCAAAATATGCAAGAGGACAACTCCTGCTCATAAATCCTCCTTTTGAATCATAGTCCAAGTGTGCCATTCACTAGCCTGGCTTTCAGTCTGAGACAGGACTGATGCTTTTGGTCTGTACCTAGATGTTTTCATTGTTCCCTGTGCTTTGATGTATAGGACCTGATATAATGTCTTAAATGTGGTTCCTTTGATTCCTAGCAGAGGTGCGGCAGGTCAGGGTCATTGTATGCATACATTAAGCTAGTGGTGGAGAATGCATAGAGAGATGGAATTTGTTACCATCTGTGCTCTTACACAAGGATGCATTTCATGCAGGTTTCCATTGAATGTCTCCTAACTTGGCCTTAGCATCACAGGAATATCTGTGAAAGCAAACCGGAAGAGATTGTTGGCAATGTCTTCAACATTCATGTCTAGAACTTCTTGGCTGTGCCTTCCTGTGTTTTGTGTTCATGAATCATCTAGTTTTATTCCTTGTTTCCATCCTTTCCTGCCCTTGTTGTTAGCTTTCTTCCTGAGGCTGTAATTTGCCCTG